CCTTGGATAACTGAAAGGAAGAAAGTCGAGTTTTGTGACGCAACTGTACATCCATTTTCATAATGGCGATCCCAAATGAACTCTCTCATTTCAACTCCACCTCATCGCCTTATTCAACAACAAAGAACGATGTCAACACCTCTGTAGCCAATTCTACTCCGCCCTGCACAGACTGGCCCAATGTGCCCATAACCACAGTCATCCCCGTCATTTTTAGTGTAATCTGTGTGCTGGGAATTGTAGCCAACGCCCTGGCAGTGTGCGTCCTAGCCCACACCAATACCTCAAGGAGAACTGTGGCAAACACTTTCATGCTCAACCTTTGTGTGTCTGACCTGCTGTTCCTGTTGTCACTCCCGCTGTGGGCCGTCTACTACGCCCAAGGCTACAATTGGACCTTTGGCTTGTTAGCATGTAAAGTCTGTGGAGGTCTCCTCAATTTCAACCTGTATGCGTCGATCTTCTTCATCACGAGCATGAGTGTGGACCGCTACCTGGCCATTGTGCACCCGCTCTGTTCCCAGAGTGCACGAGACCCCAAACGTGCCCGCCTCACGTGCATCCTCGTGTGGGTGTTGGCATTTGCTTGCTCGGTCCCCAACTTGTGTCTGAGGGAGCTTTATCACCTTAAGGACAGGAATGTGATCGCCTGTGTGATGAATTATCCTAATGACACCTTGAATACAACCCTGGTATGTCTGAAGATTGTTCTGGCCTTCCTCCTCCCTCTACTCATCATCTCTTGTTGCTACTGCAGAATTGGTAGACTTCTGTTGGCTGATACAGGGCTGGGAAGAATGCAGAATCTATCAAATGTGCCCTCATTTAAATCCCAAGAGAGCTGCAGTAAAGCAGAGAGATCTCCAACCCCCTGTGTGAGCCACGGCTCCAGCGGAGGCCAACCTCGGGAGGGAAGGGGCCTCGAGCGGGTGCTGTGGATGGTGGCTGCTGTGGTCCTGGCTTTCTTCCTCAGCTGGTTTCCCTTCCACTGTATGACTTTCTTGCACATACTGCAGATTGAAGGCTGGGTGGACAGCTGCTGGGTCAACTGGTCCCTCAAAAACTTAACCCCCCTCACCCTCTCTTTGGGCTTCTCTAACTCGGCCATCAACCCTGTGCTCTACTGCTTTATTGGAAAGCATTTCCGGGGACATTTGGGAAGGCTCTGCAAGGGCCTCTGTGCTTGTTTGAAGACCCGCGGGGAGAATCAGAGCCAGAAGAGAGGCTCTTTTAGCACCAGGCTGAGCTCCTTCTCCAGAAAACTCAGTGATCTGAAAGACCTGGCGATTGTGGAACACTCAGGTCCTGCTTAGTAAAGCCCTGATTGGAGTCTTTCCCTTCTCATTTACGGGCTTCACACCCCGAGGAGCAGCGGCGATGTCAAGTGGCTGCTGAACTCCAATTAGCATGGATGTGAGAGACGCCACTGTTACTATAACTGACTCAGTCAAATCCCAGCAGAGTGAGATGCTGCAGTTTAAAGACGGAACAAAATGTATAAAAATGTCAGTCTTGAGACTTTGATGCCAAGCTGTGTAACAGACATTTAAATAATGAATTGAATGCTTTAAAAACTACATCAAGCAGCTGTTGTCAGTGAAGAAGCTATACAAAACACCATCTTTACAGTACCAGCTCTACACCAAACAAAAGACAGGCATAGTGACTAGCTTATAAACACAGTGGAGCATTAAGCAGCTACAAAGCCAGATATTTCCCTCAGGATGCGCTTAGTCTTTTCTTTGTCCAGATTTGAAAAACAAAAATTCAGTTATTGTAGGTTGCAGGAAAATGCTTTCAAACCTTCATGGACTCCAGGTTCTCACATTACAGCTACACTAGTAAGCAACTCTTCTTTTCTTGTTTTGACATTGAAGTTGTTGGCTTTGGGGACGATGTACAAAGTTTTGGATGATCAAAAATGATTTACCAAATGCAGAGAAAAGGTATAAAAGAGAAGATCCTTTTGTTGTCTTTGTGACTATCTTACCAGCTAGCGCTTATTTAAAGGTTTTCTGTCGCGCTCTGTTTTAGCTATGATGTACCTCTGACAATGTACAATTCAAAGGTTTGATATTTTTTTTAAATGGTAAGAAAAGTGAGAAAGAAAAGAATAATATCCTTAGAGTTCATATAGCTCCACTGCTTTTTTTGCTATATGGCCAGGCCGGCAGATGAATGGGATATAAATGTATAAGGATGATTATTTCTAATGTTCTGTTCTTTCTTGGACCAAAAACATTATGCGTATACTTGTTTATTTTGTATGGTATTATTATGTAAAGGCAGTTAAGAAAAATGAATATTAGTGTATCTCTTTAAATAACAAATAAAGTTTTTTGCCTAAAACAAAATCCACTTTTTTCATTTGATATGATCCTCAAAATAACTTCTGCTGTTATTTTACAAAAATGGGTGATTTTTTGGTTTTAGTCCATAAGTGACATAACTATTTCCCTTACTTTCCGTTCTCTTACCATCCAACAGCTGTGACTGAGCGCTTCCCCCCATGTGGGAATGAGATGGTTTACTGTCCTACACACAGATGGACATTCAGCTGCAGTCCTTCCCAGAATCCCTTTCATGGATTCTGTACATATCAAGGGCAGATATCATAATCTCATACTAATGTCCATATGATGCATTCCAGTCCAGCCAGTTGTTTGTTGAGGGAGCTGCTAGCTAATCAATGATATATCTGGGACAGTATAGATCCACTGCATTCTGACCCTGGACTGCCTCTCCCCGAAGCTCAGACATGAAGAAGTATGGCCTATATGGTGTAACTTTGCTTTGCTCTGGTAGAGACCTCGGGAGTATTTTACATAAGAAGGCATTTTGTTCATGCTTAAATGATGAAATTGTTTTGATTGATTTATTTAACGTTTTTTTTAATCTTAAGTTTTTAAAGATTAGTATGCCAAACTAAAGGAAAGCCAACTCCATGAAAAGTCACCCAGTCCACTTGAAGCTGCTTGCAGTAGATCGAGCCTCATTAATCTTTCAAACATTCTCCACTGGATGGCGCTAAAGTGCTGTGGGAGCAAGTGAGTAAGATGCCACCGGCTGCTTTTCCAGACAGGGCCCCAGAGTCCCAGCGCTCATGATCTTTCTGAGCCGGGGGAAACATTGCTCTGACACAGACTGATGACTCACAGGCTACAGTTCTGAATGTATAAAAACACAACATTCTCAACAAATGCTGCATTAAATAAAGAGAGCTACCGGCTCAAAGGATACACTGAACAATAAGATGTCAGAGTGTGCAGCGCATGGCTCTCTGAAGGACTCCATGAAGCCTTCATGTAGGCTCCAGACTAGCGGATGAACCAAGATGAGATACATCCTGAGTCCCAACGTGACTAATGAGCTTAAAGCAACAGAAGCTGTGCTATCAACTTCATAAATACTTTGACTGGCATGTCACTGCTGCACACGTTTACTATTTTAATCACCACATCCTTAATTTGACACAGAACAGAACTTAGAGACTGACAGGACAGATTGCAAGATGAGTTTGTTGCAGCTTGTCAGTATGTTCACCACACACACACACACACACACACACACACACACACACACACACACACACACACACACACACACACACACACACACACACACACACACACACAGCTTCATTAGCTGATTCCTCACTGTTCTACCAAGCAGGTGTGACTGTCCTTGACACACGTTTAATAAAAGTCAAAGCAGTGACATGTGAATAAGAACATGTGTTACACAGTGAGGGGATGAAAAGAGAAAAGAAGGTATAAAAAAGTAAAGAGTAGAAAGAACACTTACAGGGCGGCTGACCAACTTTTTGCCTTCAAGACAATTTCTTTATCTTTAGATTTTACCATCTGATAGGTCACATTAGTCAGAGTGTGTGTGTTTGTGTGTTTGTGTGTGTGTGTGTGTCATTTCACATCCAGCATAGAAATAAAAAGCATTATTGATATTTATGAACTTTTACCAGCTGTGTAAAGTGATTTATCAAAACGCTTTATACCTGAGTTTGTTGAGTTGCTATATTTCAAAATAAAGATTGTACATTAAAAGATGTCTGAAGGATATAAAATACAGTGTATTGTTAAAAATGTCCCTTTTTTGCTCCAGATTTTTTTTTTTGGTTTATGAGCAATAATTAAAGAGAGCCTGGGTAGGGTTATTTGCAGTTCTACTAAATCTTCTTACATTTTTAATTTCAATACCTGACTGAGGACCAACGCTGTAAAACAATTCAATATTTCAGACAAAAAGCAAATAAGAGAAAAGCTAAAGCAGCGGTGAATACAAAAGGTAAAACTAAGCTGCTGCTCACACATCAGTGCATCTGTATGAACTCTGTCAGGATGTCAGATATAATCACACGTCACTCAAAGGAGACATTATTCAGCAGAATCAATGCAGTAGTTCTTAAAAATACTTCTCAATATTTTGCTGCTACATCTCCTGTATCTTCTTTGAAGCAGGATTTGTACAGAGCACTGTTGCTTGCCATGGGGTAGTATACATTCATATTTACTGCGGGTAAATAATCGGAATATTCCTTCCACTGCTGATTTTTTTGCTAAACAAACCTGGTATAAGGCTACATGGAAACTGTGGTCGAAACGGACAGCGTAAGCAAACTTCTGTTAATAAGAAAACAAAGTGAGGCCTCCTGATGATTTCAGTGGAAAGTCTTCACAGGAACTCAATATATGTTTACCCATGTGAAAACACTGATATTGCTATTTTTTTCATTAATTTCCTCTCTTGTGCTGTCTATTGTTGTGAAAAACATTCAGTTTGAAACTTTGAAGTTATTTCCTGTCGAAAAAATACAAGCATTTCCTGTGAGATACCCAAACCCACATTTTGAGTGTGTGTGTGTGTGTGTGTGTTTTTTTACACATGTTTGTCTTTTAGAGCAAGAGGAAGACTGAGCAGCAAGCCATAAAGGTGTAACGTTGAGAAAGAGCTGCTATCAGTCTGGGTGTAGAAAGTGGAAAATCAGAACACTGGCTTGCCAAAGCTCAGACTGCCTGAGAAACTTCTGAAACAGCGAGAGGCGGATATCAGAGTAGGCAGGACAGCTAGCTCACCCGTGTTCCCAGTGTAGAGCATACACAGTGAAGAGCAGAAGGCTGCCTGCAGTACAAAGTTGAAGTCAAGGTAAAGAGAGAGAGGGCGAGAGGGAACAGAACAGCTGGAAGACGGGAGCAGAACAAAAAGAGGATCTGTATAGAAACTGTGATGGAAAAACTCAATGTCTACCATGGACCCATTGGTAAAGAAGAAGGAGAGCGTCGGCTGGCCAAGGACGGGCGGGATGGGTGCTACCTAGTCCGTAACAGTGACTCTGTGCCTGGCGTCTACTGCCTGTGTGTGCTGTGAGTATAAACACACATTGTGCAATTCATCTCTGGCCTCCTCCTGCCTCATAGGGCCATTACAGAGACCTCTATAATCACATCAACACATAACCTTATTTTCTGCTATTACAGAGATTATTGATCTCCTCCCATTTAAGAAAATAAAAGCACAAAGGCATAAACAAACCGCGTGTTAACTGAAACCTAAGAAATGTGGCGGCCTATTATTTAGTGTGAAATGTGAGTCCCAAAGGAGCAATAACGGCGACGGCAGAGGCAAATACTTATTTCATTAAACTGAAAAATGAACCCAGGGTCAAAATGTGTGTGTGTGCAGGTGCCACGGGTTCGTCTACACATACAGACTTCACAAGGATGATGCAGGGACATGGGCCGCAGAGGTGACACGTTTTATCTTGTTTTTCTTGCTCTTACTCTGCTGACTTTTTTCCCAACCTGAAACCTAACAGAACCAGCAGACTCTACCTCTGTTTGGTATTTATTAGATCTAAGGGTTGTGGGTGCCGGCCTTATTAGGATGCCATGAATTTGAGTCAAAAACATTGTGGGGTTTTTTGCAGGAAAGAAAGGGGGTGCATTTCTTTTTGTTTACCAATAAAAGCCAGTGATTCTCCCTAATCCCGCCTTAAATTCAGGACGCCTCAGCAATTCACTCCAGAGAAGTGAAATGCAGAATTGCATTTGACAGCTTTTCTGATGGGATATGTAATTGAGCACTGCGGGTTGGCAAACACTCTGAGATGTGTGGATGTATAGAAACATCTGAAGGCGATGTCTCTTTCTGCGTGACAACTAAAGCAAGATGCTGTTGTAACTACATTTCAGCCTCGCTCATTTTACTGACAGCATCAAGCCAACAGATAGGAGGGGGAAAAAAGCCTTGAATTACACGCATTCCACTACAGGCTCAATAACAGTTTACATTATTCATGTGCAGAATCAATCACTTTAATGAAATATTCCAGGGAACAGAGGTAACACTTGTGGCCGGAGACAGAAACAACCAAAGTGCTTTGCTGTGGAAAGTTCTCCCTCCGTTTGATTAAATGATTTCAAACTGCATTCAAGGAACAAGCTTTACCACGGCTCCTTCCTGCATGATTGATTGCACAGGGTGGAAACAAACAATGCTTTTTCTTTTTTTCTTTTTTAAAAAGCCCTTACTTGACAAAATTACAGTACTTCGAAATATTTCATGTTCTGGTCGAGAGATATTAAATGTTAAACTGATCGCTGTGAGCAAAGTAGAAAATTGATTAAATATTAAACAAAAAATGCAAAACTCCAGAAGATCATTGAAACAGTTGATGTTCAATAAAGGTGAAGTCACTTGTGATATTTCCAATTGAACCTCAGATAACTTTGTAGAAAATGTTGGTTTCTGACACTCAAAGAAGCGATTGTGGGACACTAAGCATCTGAGATTACACATATATATCCTAAAAGAAATGCTTTTGGTTGTCTCGTAATAATTAAAGAGCCCTGGGGAGCTGATGCTTTCAGAAACCACCGCAACAAGAGTTCTTCTATTTCAGCTTCTAAATCCCCCTCGAGTCTCTTTTCTGCTCCTCCAGAGTAGATTTACAGAAATTATAGATCCACTTTCTTTTGCGTCATTGTATTTATGGTTGTGTTATTTTCTTGAACATGAGCTCAGTGTGGATCAGTAGACTCGATACACAAATATAATTGACATGATTCTCAGTCCCTTTGTACTGTGAGTTTCTGCCTTCAGCGTATCTGATATCTGTTATCAGGTGAATGTGTGTGAGCTTATTTCCAGCCACTCCTGTCCTGTCCTGTCCTTTTCATTTCCCCATGGGGTTTGATGTGGAGATGGAAATGGAAAAAGCTGAATTCTCTGCCTTTATTTTCGTCTTTCTTGTGTTTCAGACCACTCCTGGCGTGCAGAAGCGATATTTCCGGCAAATCAAGAACTTGATTTCAACTTTCCAGAAGCCCGGACAAGGAATTGCCATGCCTCTGCTCTACCCCGTCACCGCTCAGAGACGGGCACAAACACACACAGAGGCACAGACGCCCAGTAATAGCCTGTCACCGACACACAGCAGCCCTGATTCTTGCCTCCAGCAGCGGCTGCAGCATGCTGCCGAGGGACAGAAAAACAGGAACAAGAAGGAGGTGCGGCAGGCTGTCGGTTAGGGGCAAACCCAGAGCTCTCCATTGACCTAATTATACACAAAGTGCCGGTTTTTGCGTGGTGCCTGCTGTTGCATTTTTCACGCAGTGTGTGATATAAATGTCATTTCTTTCCAATTAAGCAGCTCCTGTTTGTTAAATCTAAGACATTTAAGATCTAGCGGTGCCTCAGATCTCCTTCCAGTAACAATTTTTTTCCCTTCATACGAGGACGAGAAAGTGCCTCATAACTTGCAGAGCTGTATTGTAAAATATTCAACTGCTGAAACATTAATATCCATTACTGCATTCGTAAGATGACAGCAAATATTGTGCTCTGTTTTCTTAATGCAATTTAGTTATGTGAATGGCAAAGAAAATAAATGACATTGGTTGAAATAAACTCTTTTAAATGAGGTCACCCATACACCGCCATACACACTTGAGCCTCCATCTGACACATAATGTGGAACAAAAATTCAATTTGACATATTGCAGCTCTGATTTCCATGGAGAGAATGCACACTGCTGGAGAGATGGGGGGGGGGTGTCTGTCATTCATCTGATTGACATTACTGGCTCTTCATGAAAAAAAAGAGAGGAAGTGAGGGAAAAAGAAAGAGATGGAAGAGGGAAGACGGAGCAAAGCATCTATTCAGCCCAGACAATTCTTCAGTGCAGCGGTCTCCTAGCAACCAGACCCTCCATCTCCTCAGCACAGAGATGAGGTTGGACAGTATCTCACGCAGCATATGGTTTTGAAGGGAAGGTGCATCGCGGCCGATCAGCAAAGTGTTCGTCGGGAACGTATATCACCTGCTGGCAGTCAGAACATATGCATTGTGCGGCTCTGTCATCCACAGCCCAGGAGAGAAACACAAACAATTAATGGTGGGCAGATGGTGGAGTGACGACGGGAGGGAGGCAAGTTGGGGATAGGCAGACGGACGGGGAGGTGGATTAGTGGTAGCTAGATTAAAAAAAAAAGAAAAACAAACAAACTTCTTTGCTTTCTTTTTAAACTTTCTTTTGGGGGAGGAGGAAGGAGGCTTGGAAGTGGTTCACATGTAGTCTGATTGGCATTTCCTAATGAGAGGAGACAAGCTGTAGAGAACAGCACAGCCAACTCCAGGTCCTGCCCCTTCTGCACTCACCACCCACTCGCTGAGCCTCAGCTGTCACATTTCTTTTTCCTTTCTTCTGAGCTTTTTTTTTCCCCTCTCTCTTCCTTCTTCTTCTTCTTCTTCTTCTTCTTCTTCTTCTCTTCCGACAGACGCAGGTTCCTCATGCATATCTCAGTTTGAGCCATAATGATGGGTGATAATGACAGTACAGATTTGAAAGTTACAAACTCTCAGAAACAAGAACAAAGAGAGCACAACAAATGTGTGGAGAGAAGGCGCAGAGACAGTGAGGACGTGAGAGAAAGCGAGAGAGAGAGAGAGAGAGAGAGAGAGAGAGAGAGAGAGAGAGCGAGAGAGCGAGAGAGAGCAGACGCAGAGGGAAATAACAAGCAACAATGTGTATAAAATCTCATCGAGCAATCTGGTAATTCACACATAATAACTTTAATCAGCATTGTAACCCAATAAAGTCAGATTTTTCAGCGAGAATATTTACTATAGCCATGTATAATTCTTTGCAAAAATGTAACTGTTTTTTTCTATTGATTAACAATACTGACACTTACTTATGAACAACAGAATTTCCAGTTGAGCACTTTTTTCAGTGTGAAAGCACTGGCTATGTACATTCTTGATTTTTAATATACACACTCATACAAACTACTGTTGGAGCACACCAGAGGCGGAATACCAGGAGAGGTTTTCCTTCTCTAAAGGGGAGTGTCAGAGTCAACAAGGCCTCTCTTACACAATATGTAAACGATAGTATATCCGAGGTAAACCATGTAGGAACTCAAATGGCAACCGCAGAGCTCTTGATTTGAGTCATGAAGAGGATCATTCACTGGCTATCCTAAAGTCTTCATTCCTACAGTTCAGTGAACAGAGAGCCTAAAATGATTAACAGTGTTGAAACAGCAAATGACAGTCTGTCCATCGGTCAGTCCGTCAGTCGGTCGGTGAGAGCGTCAGTCGGTCAGTCCCGGCGCCGGTCGTATACAAAAAGCAAAGCCACAGCCAAACCACACTGCTTGTGCCACTGTTAGAAATCGGAGAAACTGGACGATAATAATAAAATACCATCATTTTGTCACAATTAAAGGCATTTGGAAATATTTTTTTCCCCAATCTCTCCTCTTGTTCTTCTCCTGTTGTCGTCTTCTTTTTTTTTTCATACAGTATAGAAACAGTAGAACAAATCAGAGTAGAGTAGAAACAGGCAGTCTTTGGTGGGGTGGGGGGCTGCTCATGTGTCTCTGTTACCTGCCCCCCACCTCGCTCAGTGTCATAAAGTGGATGTTGGAGGGGCAGTCGGACAGCTCGGGCTGCTGCTCTATAGGCAGGGAGTAGTAGCCGTCGTAACCCTGAACCAGTCCTCCGCTCAGCAGCTGCTGCTTCTCCGCCTCACTCCACGCCCTGCTCCCCGCATCCCCTAATTCCACCCTCTTCCTCTCCTTCTCCCACGCCCCCTCCACCGCTCTCTTCCTCGCCTCCTCCTTTACCCGCGCCCTCTCCTCCTCCTCGCTGCCGCCGTAGCGCACGCACAAGCACAGCGCTCCCTGCTGAAGGGTGATGTCAGCGAATCGTCGAGTCCTGCCGTTCACCAGCGCGCTCATCTGAGAAACACTCACGTTCACTCCACTCTCTAGGACACGCCCCCCCGACTCCTAACCCGAGAGCGAGGTCTTCCTCGATGGGCCGCGACTGGAGGAAGTGATGGGTGTCGCAGCCGTGCACGGTGAAGCTCAGCCCACTCAGGTGCACGGCGTTGTTTAAAATGGCTGCCACCCGGCGACTATCTTCACTAGCTACGCCGATGACCTCAGCGCTGACACGACCATGGGAGACGGCAAAGCGGATGCTGGGGCCCAGAAGGGAGGGTCGGGATCCGAAGGGGGGAGGGTGTGCCGGTCTGTGACAGGTTGAGCCTACAGGTTCTGAGACAAGAGGTAACCTCTCCAGAGAGATGAAACTCCTCAGCTGTCTCCGCACCTCACACTGGATCCCCAAAACCACCTGGGAGGAAAACACAAGCAGTTAAGTAAATATAACACAAGGTTAAACTGACCTCATCATAGATAGATAGATAGATAGATACTTTATTGATCCCGAGGGAAATTCAAAGCATCCAGTAGCAGGTTACAAAGACGTACATGACATGAAACATTTGTTACAAATTAACCACAAAACCGACGCCCCCCCCTCCCATACATATATATTAACCCGAAAAAAGATTTAAAGAATACCCCTAGATGAATCAAACTTAAACTGAGCAATTAATAATAGACTTATATAAGAAATGTACATAACCCATGCAGGGATAAAAATATATGTGTGATTTAAACAAGAACCTATAAACAGTTGAGGAAAAAATCTGTAATTAGACCTGAATATAAAAAATAAAAAGTGTTGACCTTCTGAAGTTGTGTTGTTTATATATGTACAGCAATGTTTAAAAAAGCAGATAGTGCAGAGTTATCAAAAACAGACATTAAATAACAGGCAGTGCAAACATTAAAGGTGCAATTTAAATAATTGGGAGGTTAATCTTTTTGTTTTTGTTTTAAGGTGTTGGACTTGTGGTTACTGGATAAGAGCAGGTGTGTCTATAAATCATCCACCTGCCCTTTAGATTACATTCCTACATGGAGTTTGAAAGGTGTGTTTCAGACATTTTAACTATTATTAACTGCTCCTTGTTGATGAGGTTTTCCCTCTTACTTAAACAGCCCATGGTTTACCCCCTTTTAAAGAAACTCTCTTAATCCCTTTATTTCAATGTCTCCAAGCTCCCATTCTCATCTACAATGTGTCCACTCATCTGATTATTTTACAATCAGATGAACACCCCCAACATAGCACTGAGAAAGCTCTGGTTGAGGTTTCTAGTGATCTTCTGTTTGCAGCTGACTCTGGACTGCACTCTGTCTGAATTCTCCTAGACCTCAGCTCAGCCTTTGATACAAGGAACAAAGTCTTAATCTGACATCTGAAGTACACTGTTGGCAGGTGTGGTGGGGAACTGGACTGGTTCCATTTCCTATCCTTCAAACTGGTCTTTTTCTGAAATGCTTGGTGATGCTTCTACCTCTTGTGATCCTGTAAACAAATGTTCTACAGCCTAACGACTGTAAATCTTTCTGTATTCCTCTGGCCCCAGTAATAGCTACATTAATAATACTATACTGTACAGTAGTTATACCATTTTTGTCCAAATGTTAAACTCCATGAAAATCATTCACATTCAAGATAAATGGAGCCGGCTTAATGTTTGACTGAGATGACTTTAAAAACTATTCACCAAATATCCAAAGACACAGTTTTTTCAGTTTCATTAACATTTAAAGAACTAATAAGACACTGTTTTAAAAAAAAAAAAAAGAAGATTACATTCATAAACTATTACAATTTGTTGTTATGTTAAAAACACATTTAAAAAATGTGTGAACAAATGGATTATTGAATGTTTATTTATTGAACTTTAGCTTAAAGTTTTGTACTCATATATGATCTTGTTCTTTCTTCTTTTTTTGTACAATAGTTTTTATCCTAGCGTTCTGTCTTTTATTGTTGTGCTTGTTTGTTTTTGTGTATCTTTGAAGCATTTTAAAGACCCATCTAGCTGCAGGCATTACAAATGAGCTTCACCTATGATGACTGTCATGTGTGGCATCAACTGACTTGCTCCATACTTGTCCCTATACACATAAACATGAAATAAATAACTATATACATACAGAGGGATAACCACACATTAACACAGGGAGGACTCTTGAATAAAGCTAGTACTCATGCAGTTGGCTGCAGTTTGTAGTTTGCAGTCGGGGGGGCAGCTCACCTTGCTGGAGTCCCAGTTCTGTGTCTTTGTCTGGGTCTTCATCAGTTCATATGTTTGTTCCATTCTGCCAACATCAGGCTTTGGGAAGCCTGGGACAACATTATGAAGCTGGAAGCCAAAAAGCTGCAGCCAGCTACCGATGTCTGAACACACACACACACACACACACACACACACACACACACACACACACACAGATACAGAAGAGAAAATTGCACGGAGGTAGAAAGTTAGAATATACTGTGTATACTGTGAAGCAAACAAAAAGTCATAAGGCCAGGACACCAAGATCTTGTTCAGGAAATCACAAAGTATATGAGCATAATACGTGGCAGGGATGGCTCGGCTGGTGTTTCCCTGACAAACAGATTCATTCTGTAATAAACAATCCTGCTGCAGGGAAACGTGCCGGGCCAAATGAATGTTTCATTAACCAGAAGGACATACGCCCCCACCAACATCCTATATTCATTCTCCTGTTCCATCTCTCTCCCACGCCTGACTTTCTATTTTGCCTCTCGGGGAAACAGTATGTTCTTGACAGACAGAGGGAACAAAACACAACAGTCTGTGTTAAAAAACAAGACGATCTGAGGACTGGCTGTCCTTTATGTTGCCAGAACATTCTGTCTGTCACATCTTCTGTCTGCCACACAGCTCACCTGTGGTTAGATGTGCGGCACCATTCACGTATGTTTTCCCCCCCTGAAGCAGCTTGCGTAATTCAGTTACTAACTGATTCAGTGTTGAGTTTAAGAGTGAATCAGCGTGTGTGCTGTGTGACGCTCACCTGTAGTAAACTTTGTAACTTCCTCCACTCTGCCAACCGGGCAGTTGTTTTTGAAGGCGTACACGTTAAACGGCTTGGGCTCCTTGCTCAACTCCCCCCATAGTTCATGATTGGGTGAGGTCCATCGGCCGGCCAGCGTGTCGTAATCCCGCCTGCCCAAGTGGACCAGCCGTGTGAGAGGATCGTACAGGCCTCCGTGGAAGCCGATGACAAGCTGGAAGTCAGGGTTGGTGTCCTGGTAGACCTCTCCATACGGAGTGTAGAGGATCTCTTTGACCAATCGCCCTTTGCTAGAGAACACAGCTCTTGGGCTGCCCACGCTGTCGCAGGCGACATAGTACTCTTCCCCACTGCTCAGCTCCATGGCGATGAGATGGCCCTGCAGGTCGTAGTACAGTGACGTGATCAGATTGCTGCTGTGGTTGTACATGTGGCTGACCCTTGTGGGATGTGACAGATCGGCGTAAAAGAACTGCAGCTGCTCGCCCTGGCTGCTCTTGGTGGCGACACGCCGACCCAGCCCGTCGTAGCGATACCACACGGTACGCTCGGTCACCCTGTTGAAGACCCGGGTCAGCAGGCCGTTGGAGTTGTAGTCAAACAGATCGTTGGCTCGCTGGCGGAGGAAGCCGTCGTCATCCACGCTGTACTGTAGCTCCCCAAGGTGTGTGATGCGGTCTCTCTGGTCGTAACGCAGCGGCGTCAACCTAGAAATAAAACCCATACAGAAAATGAACAGTTATATTTCACACAAGCTTACAAAAGTTTGTTTAATATCAATTTATCAAGACAAATAGGAGTCAGAAAGAAAAGCTGTACCCATGCACAGCAGTGCCAGACTAACAGACAGACTGTTTCATGTACATTGTTTTCCTCATGTTCACTAGCTTAGCATGCTAACATTAACCTATTAGCAGGTAGCACAAAGAAGGATTCAGTCTCAGGGACACTTTAACTAAAGTACTGAAGAAAGTCTTTAGTTCACCTTGCCAAGAAAGGGGCGAGAGCGCTAAGTGATAAACCTTCACTCTTATAGGGTCATCAATGAATGGTGCACATTCATGGCATACCAATAAAACTTTCACTCATATTGTAACCTCATTATAGTAAAAGTCAGGGGAATTAATCACTTTGGGATCATGTATTTCAGAACAAAGTTCAGATGCATTCCACCCAAGAGTTGTTGAGATAAAACAAGTCTAAAGATGACCAAGACATTACCATTCCCAGAGCATGGCTAACGCAGGATGATAACACTTCAGTGAAATGTGTTGGAGAAAGTACAAACACTATCTGCTCTTAAAAAAAGATAGTGAGGAGGTGACATACTAACCTTGCACTAGTCCCATGGCTGAGCAGGTTAATGTTTCCGTTGAGGTCATAGCTGTAACGCCACTGAGGGCGCTCATTAACTGATGCACTTTGCAGCTGGCTGTCTGCATCGTACTCGTATGTGTAGCGTGTAACATTACTGTCGACGCCCACCCTGATGTCACAGGTGGTTGTGCGCCCTGCCGAGTCGTACTGTATGGTCATCCAGTAGGCGATGGATTTAAGGATCTCATACTGGACCTCTACCACCTGGCCATAGGAGTTAAACACCTTTGTGTGCTTCATCAGATGAGTGGTGATGACCTAAACAACAGGAAATGAAAGGGGTTAGTCATGCTACTATTTACAGATGTGATCTCACAAACAGCTCTCAGTTTGCATAACAAGCCGACATTAAGTAACTTGAGTGTCAATTTGCACATGTGCTTTTTGTCAAATGTAAGTACAATATTCACATTGTTTTTAGCGCATTATTTTTCTCCTGAGATAAGTATTTGCCTATTTAGCTGCTTAAAGCTAAATGCTATGATAACCAGTCGGTTGCTAACTTTATCAGTCCATAAATTAGCTAAAGTGTTGGGTGCATCAACAATGAACCAAAACAAAGTTTGAGGCAAAAAACCCACTAACAGGCGGGAAGATGCTAATCCTGTTTGTTAGATTCTGTTGTTCACTATTTCATATAAATGAGACACTTTTTTACCACTGCACAAACCCCTTATTTAATTGTTACATTAAACTCCATATTTAATGTAATCATATGTACAACATGTATTTATAATAATTACACATATAATGTTGCCTACTCTATTTTGGATGACAGAGTTCTTCCTACCTGGTTGAGGTCATAAAAAATAACGCTGAACTTGCCAAACTGCTCAACCCTCCCTGATACATCGACATAACGGTACAGATCAATAGGTAGAGGGGTCTCATTGATGACTGCCTGCATGCTCGTCACTCTGAAGTTGTTGTAGCTGTAGTCGAACCGGGCGTTGACCAAGCCTTCTTCGCTGAAGCGGAAGATCTGCCGACTCGTCAGGGGACCTGTTTGAAGGGATCAGAGTGGCTTCATTAGAGAACAATACACAGATGTTTAAGGATCCTGCATTAGGATGTGCATGAACAACACACATACCACAGATGCATTTGCATACACAGCCCCCCCTGTCGGCCATCATGCTACCCTTGCAAGGCCTCTTAATTAATTCAAATCAAGGACTAATTCAACATCATTAACACAGACACACGTAGTGCAATCCATTCAATCTTAACTATCTCCACATCTCGATGGCATTTCCAGTGGTGACCTTTAATATGGAGAGATAATGAAATCTAAAGACAATAGCCATGATGAGCCAATGTGCTGCTTAATGTCAGAACATCAACTTTAACAACACTATTCATCACCTCTGCTGCAAGCTACTACAGCCTAGCCTCAATTTGGGAAAAGGCCTGCTAATGAAACACCATTATGGTGCTATTTGAGATGACTCTGATTGCAGTTAAAATGACTTAGTGTCTGGCTTTGGAGACTACAGAGAGCTGGATCAGCATTACATCTTCTATTTTTATTTTCAGGGGAATGTTGATTCTAAACCTGCGCTAATGGGAAAGTGGCAGAAGCACAGAGAGCGATGTGGAGGCTTTTCTACAGCCCTAGGGAACTCACAGTCTGTTCGTCTCGCTTCTCTAGCTGTCACTTCCCCAAGCTGTCATCTTTTCCTCTCCTTTTCTGTTCCTATTCTCCCTCACCTACCTCTTTATATCTCTGTCTTTCCTTTTTTTCATCCCTACTCTTGCTTGTCTCCTCTCAAGGGACAATTACCACTATCTCTCCTCTCTCCAGGTCTCCGTTTGTTCTGCTGAAATGAGATCAGTTAAAGGAAGGTGAGAGTCTATTCACAGTGAGGGCAAAACGATAAACACACACACACACACACACACACACACACACACACACACACACACAGCTGAGCTTCGCAGATTAGTGACACCTGATCACTGCGAGCCAATCACAAAGCCATGTGAAGTGAACCAGCAGCAGAGATGAGAGCATTCTCAACGACCCTGGAAAGAATCTGTAACTTGGGGGAATTGGTGAACTGTCTCATAATGACAACGTTCCAAACATATCACAGCCACAGCTAAAGGGGCCCATTGATGGTCATTGTATTACTGGATAATACTGCAATGTGCAATGTCTCTTTCACTAATTTTCTGAGTCATATGTGAAACAATTGTCCTCCTATTAGAGCTTTAATAGATGCCCTCGGGTAGAACTTCATGACTTTCTGCCCAATGCAGATATAAGTGCATATATGCACACAGACAAATTATCGCTTACAATCAGGCAACCTGAATGTATCATATTCACACAAGACCCAGCACATCAGACAATCGCTGGTTTACTTTGATAAGGCAGCCTGGTTGCTGATGTAGGAAAGAGATCGCAAAGCTGAGAGCCCAGTGGGTGGTCTCATATATACAGCTGTGGTAGACCACAGTATCTTCGCTTGAACACGCTCGTCATTACTCACACTTCTCAATGCGGCTGCCTCACTCTCAGGTGAATGGCTGACTAAAAGCAAGACTACTGAGTTTGATACCACCCAAAAAGTAACCAAAGATGAATGATTGTACTTGTAAAAGTATGGATGATTTGAGTTGTGCACATAAGATTATGTTAAGTACAGAGTTCCTTTTAAACAACTGATTTTAAAGACAACTCCCTGCACATTTTAAATATCTCAATGTTCAGGCTTTGCCACACTGTGTAAGTGCTTGTGTATGTGTACCTGTCTGTCTGTATCGTATGGAGCTTATGAAGCCATTATGGGTTAGATGAATGGTCTTCACAGTGCCAGAGGCGTCGTCATAAGTGAAGGTCACCAGGGTGGAGTCATAAACCACCTCAGAGAGCCGCGCCGCTGACGTATACCTTTAAAAAAAGGAGTACAAGAAATACATTTAGAGAACAAATACTGAATTATTTTAAGAAATGTAGTTTAAAAGTATTGATATTTTTTAGTATAACATTGATCTTCAATATAAAACCCCATGAATAATACAAAGATCCCATAAAAAACAAAAAAAACAAGTCACATCATCCTTCAACATTTCATCAAATCAGACCAGCTGCTGTGGTAGTTATGGCCTTTCAAATCTTGAAAATGGGGCCGTTTATAAAACTGTAGTGTCCTCAGCGAGCCGTTGAGTATTAAAAAATTGTTAAATGCCAGAACGCTGCCCGCATCAGTCCTCCAACTTTCATCAAAATCAGATCTGTGGTGTCTGACATGCTATGATGATAAAACATTTGACCTTTAATCAGTCTCGCCATTAGTCCAATCAAAGTAATTTGTAAGGACAGCTTGGTGTGTGTGTGTAGCACGTAACTAGACTTAGAGCAGTAATAGGGCCATTACATTTCTGAGATTAGCCTTTAATTATGGCACCTTCAGCAAGCCAATCAGTGTTAGGTTTTTAAATGGCTGAGGATTCCTATATGCATTATGCCTCTTAACTTCCATAAAAAACTAAAAAAAAAACTAAAATTCTAGTGTTGCAAAGGCCACATCTTCCTAACTTTGTAGCCAACAATCAGCTATATTTCAGTGACCTGAGTCGTACCTGTAGATGGCACTGCGCCCTGTTCCCAAGTACTGAGTCCTCAGCAGCCGCCCATCCAGGGTGTAGTCCTGCATGAAGGAGGACTGGCTGTCAGGAGGGGTGTAAATGTTCCTGTAGTAGCCGATGGACAGAAGCGACTGCAGTGTGTGTTTCACCATGCTGGGCATCGTTACGGCAACCAGGCGGTCCGTTTGGTCGTACTCAAAGACATAGCGCCGCTGGCTATGCAGGAGCAGCATTATGGACTGTGAGGACACAGACAGATGAAGAGGGCAGTTTTAATAGTGCAGCACTGATCTGTATTTCTGTCTGATGTCTTTGTCTAATGCAGTGTCATCCAGAGAAGGCTTTGAGTCACCAAAACGTCTGAACTCCAGGAGAATCTATTCATTAAAGAGTTAATCACTGATGGAGAATTACCACTTGAAATGTAAGCAAAGCAAAAAAAAAACATCGTCCAAACTTGGAGTTTTTAAAAAGACAGGAATATTTAATTGAATATTAATTATTTGTATTCATTTTTCAGGCAAGCTTTTAAACATCTGTATTTAGTGCCCGTAGTTATTCTCACAGTTTCTACTGCAGGAAAAATATTTTGTGTAAAACACTTCTCTCTTTAACAGTGAGGTATAATATTACTCTATTAATATTACATGCAGGTATTATTAATTTCAAGATGGTTCCGTAATATAAGATCATTTACACTCTAATCTGACACTAGATATATTTCAGACTGAATCTCATTTCATTAAATATTACAATTAACATCAAGGACGGAAATTGTAGCTGGATAGCTTCAGCTTTTTACACTCAAAGGAACATATCTTTGTATGCTTTATCCCATGTAATGAAATTCACATGAACTGCACATTAGTAGAAAGCATGGCAAGTATTTACTGTAAAACCTGCTTTAGAGAAACCACTGGTTTCATTTCACCACTCGCTGTAAAGTAAGGTACAGAGCCTTGAAGCTTGCCAGTTACATAAACCTCGGCAATGACTCTTGTGTCTACCTTTACTGCACTTCATGCTATGGATCCCTGGGTTCAGATTGATTAGAAAAAGTCTACACGATAAATGAACTTTGAAAAAGAGAACACAGAGCAGAGCTATCCTTCAATCTGCAGAAGGGTGGCCTTTGTTAAGTTGAATGAATGAACGTGTTGAACCAATGGCTGCCTCAGAGAGATAAAAAAACATACACCATGGTTGATGAACTGCAAAGGATCTGTTTTAACATGTTCATATCGCCTCACCAAGTAAAAGTATAACTTGAAGTGTTAGTTTTTGTTTCAGAAAGGTGTAATAACCTTGAAGCAGTAAACAAAGGAAGCGCAGGTGTGCTAGATTTCTGCTCACAGCGAAGATGAAAAGAAACAGAAGTGAAGCCATCAGACAAATCTCAGCATGATACACAAACAAAATCCCCCCCAACCTCAATATGTTTCTAAAAGGAACAGCTCTTACTTTGTCTGCATATGTGTAGCTCCAGATTTTGCCGTTGACCCAGGCTCTGGACACCACCCTGTCGTTCTCATACTCCAGACGTTCAGACCATTCTCCTCGGTGTATGGCTGCCAGCAGTCCTCCAGCTGAGTAGCTGATGTTTACTTCAGTGTATTTGCTACTTGGGGACCAGACCACAGGTCGACCGAGAGGGTCATACTGGATGTGAAGGGTGAACTTCCTGTGGTCATCGTAGATCTTCCCTACTCTGGTGTTCTGGTCAAAGTCAATGGACAGCAGGTTCCTGTTATGGGCCTAAAATTAAACAAGCAGAATGTTAACTAGATGAAGAACATATAAAGTGTGAGTAGCATTTCTCTCAATAACAGTAGACTTGAGCTTCCATTGGGGATAAATAAAGTATTTAAGTCGAACGAATACATCAGTAGTTGAGACAAATTAATTTGGACATTTTTTTAGGACACTGGACCTGAATAATAAACAATGAACTGCCTCGTGGGCACAGGGGACTGAGTCACAAGGCTTGATAATTAATTAGCACACATCAGATAAAATGTCCTTTTTTTCTATTTCATTACATTTTCTGTTTGTCTGCTTTACTTTTTTCTGTGCCAGGGAAAAACAGACGAGGTGTTGCAGTTGGCGTGTGCTTTGTGGAAAGTACAGCGAACGGGTTCCGAGTCAACTGGCCTATCAGCAGACTCTCGGTGATGTCATTAATCTGTCATAAGATCCAACGAGTGTCCTCACACCAAACTGTACCACGAGTGCTCTACAGCCTGATAGATTGCAAAGGCCAGATTGCACAACTTTTGGTAACCACATGTCTGAGGTGTGAATAAGGTGATGTAAATTGACCTTTTTAAACAGCCTTATGTTAGATTTAGCTTGAGTTGTTTGTTACCAGAATGTTTTATGTTGTTGATCTTGTTTTGTTTGTGTAGTAATGAATAAGGATAACTTATTTTTTAGTTTGCTGAAGAATAAGTTGGTGAGTTTTACCCTGAGCCTGCGTTCATAAGTGCTGTAGTTCATCTTGCTCTGCTCCTTCCTCTGCCTCCACTCTATCAGGCTTGGGGCGTGGTCTCCGGGCAGACTGATGTTACACCGGCTGGCTGTGGGACTGACTCCTCCCCCTGCACCTCCGGGAAGGAGGGGCTCCGTGCTGAGGGACAGCTCCATCCCACTTGCCAGCGACACAAGGAACGAGCCATCAGCGCTGACTCTGTACGAGCTCTGAGCATGGTCTGGAGGTCGATAGAGTGTGTGGGTCACACACGTACGGAGATGCATAAACAAACATGCAGCCCCACAAAACCCACACGCACGTAGATGCAGATACAAAGTACCGGATGAAAAAAAAAGTGTGAGAACACGTCAGTGTCTGTCTCTCAGAAAACAGTCTTTAGAAAAACCTACGAGATACAGCAGAAGAGTACATAATGAAATGAATACGAGTCTGGCTTTTTGTATGCATGTTTTGTTTGAATTAATTATCAAATTTTCTGTGCTTAGCGCTCTCTCTGCAACATTCACGCTCTATTGTACCTTTAGAAAGTGTTATCTATTCAAAAAGCAAGCAAGAGAGGAGGAGAAAAGGAGAGACAGATGGATATCAAGTAAGAGAGGAATGAAAAGAAGAACAGAAAGAAAGAAAAGAGAAGTGAGCCAAGTGGAGAGCAATTGGCCATGAAAGTTGTTCACACATTGAGGTTTCTCAGAAACTGTTCTCTCATTTCTATACCACTCTGAGCAAGTTTGCAGACAGAATTTATACTTGCCAATATCAAAATGACTCATGTCTTTAACGTTTTTAAAATGCAATTAATATGAAAAATGGCCAAAATAATCATAAAACTTACTGCGGCTCATAAACTGGATAGTAACTTCAATTCCCTGCGCCCCTATAAAACTCTTTCTGTACATATGGTTATTGTTGCCTCAGAGGCAGGAAGAGACACTGAATTTGTTGATGGTGGAAGTAATGGGTTGGAGGAGCACTGTAAAATGGGGGGGTCATTTCAACTCTTCCCTGGCAGCTCTGTCACACTGTAGTACTACACACAGGCTATGTGTGTGTGTGTGCCAGTGTGTTTGTGTGTGTTGGAGCAGCTTTTCTCTCCCTGCAGTCCTGTCATTGTGACAACTGCTAGAAAGCAATTAAAGGGATGACATGAGAAGAAGCTGCTCCCATGTGCGGCTTCTCCACTCCACTCTCATTCTTTCCCTCTTCTCATCTCTGCTCTCTTTTCCATTTTTTTCCAGCGGCCGTTAAGACATTTCGCCTGACAGTCGGATCTGCCTCTTTTTTTGTAAACTTTTTTTTTTTTTGCCCACTGGTCATTAGTCTGGTTATAAAAAGAGGTCATAACTGAACAATTTGTGAATTATTTATAGAAAGGGTTACATCTCTTTCCAAAACTGTGAATGTCTTTTGCACACATGTAGCCGGTGAAGAAATAATATAAGAAAAGCTACAGGGCAGTGTGTCTAACCTGACCTGAATAACAACCACAATATTGCTGTTTGCCTGTCATAAATGTTTAAACATCAATGTAACCTTGTGGTTGGCCCTCCTTATACTTGTCTAATGTTGTCTAAGCTTTACTCCCCCCACATGAGTCATAAGCACCATGCACCGTGTTGGTGCTAAACTGGATGGATTGCGATGCTCTGCAGTGAGGTATGACCTTTGTTGTGTGTCACCCCCTGAATAACAGAGGGATGTGACATCTGTGTAACCCTATTTGGCCCTGTGTAAACCCTTTTGTCTTCCTGCAGTTTACCAAAAGATTCTCTCTTGACCTATGACAAGTAAAAGATCACAAAACTACGCTATGTCACATTCATACCTTGTCTGAATGTGTAGACTGTGTCACTGGCAGAGAGGTTGGTGCTGGTGACAAAGTTCTCTCGGTTTGAGGCCTCGACCTCCACTCGAGACCAGCGCTCCAGGTTGCCGTGGAAACCGCTCACCTCACCAGTGGGGAGGGTGATGTTGGTCACACGGCCCTCGCTGTTGTACCTTCAAAGTTAAACACAGAGCTGATGATGTACCAAACAAGTGCACACAAAAAGTTCACAGTCTCGCACAAAAACACTGTCATAAGCACACATGAGCGCATAGACACAAGTGTGCATGCTCACTATCACACTGTTTCACCCTCTCACACACAAACATGGGCACAGAGTATGCGTCAACCATGATTTATATTTGTAATTACCCAGCTGTGGAATTTGAGACGGAGACTCTGCAGACAATGAGAAATTACTCAACGGATGTGTTTGTGTGTGTGTAGTGTACTTCAAGTTCATACTTTACATGTGTGTGATCAAAGTGCTGCAGATGTCCTTCAACTAATCCGTCTCTTAAGCACAGGGCGTAACCAACAAAAGCTTTCTCTAGCTCTCTTAAATGATGCACTAGTCACCACCAGATGGCACTCATATTTCACACTGCAAAAGTAAACACTGGCTCACACTCTTACACACATGCATGCAATCCCCTGCACATACGCTACAAACATTTAGATCCAATCAATCAACCACCAATCAAAGACAAATTGACCGAGATAAGAAATGATAGATGGAAACAAATTAAAGACTGAAAAAGAAAGAAAGAAAAAAAAAACCAGACGGAAGAAAAAGGAACAAAAGGTTAAGAGAAAAAAACTGTACACTTACTCATAAACAGTGGTCCAACTGTTCTCATCACTCTTAGTTGCTAGGAGACCAGTGTTGCCATGGTAAGTGATGTGGGCGATGTCATGGCCTTGGGCTGATACCTTTCTCAGTGTTCCACTGTTGCTAAGAGACAGCCAGTACACCTGTCCACCAGGTAGTGCCAGCCAGAGAGGCACACCATGAGCATCTCTCCTCACCTGGAGTCCATGGCCGTCGCGGCTCGTCAGCCCGGACAGCTGGCCGTCCGACCCGTAAGAGAAGTTGTACAGGTAGTGACCAGTGATCAGGTGTTTGGTGAACATGTGGGAACCATTCTGTCATGGAAGAGAAGAGACAGACAGGAAGTGCCTTAGTTACCCCGACTGTAAAGTAGTTTCTAAGTAAGTTTAAAAAAATCAACTGAGTGAATATTAGATTTCAAACTAAAACTTTTTAATAAAATCGAACGAGGAAAGACCTCGAGAACATTCAACAGGATGTGATTCGAGATGAAAAGATGAGGCAGCTTCTGAAGAAAGCAATTTAAAACTAAGAAGATTATCCTGTGAAAATGTAGGTTTTACTTTTTTTAATTTAATGCATGCATACGCCCAGTGAATGAGAGAATGGTATCTGATACAGCTGATCATATTTGGTCATTCAGTTTTATATTATTAGCATTAAGTCAGGCACTTTCATATGTAATTTCAGGCTTACTGTGTTTTCACAGTAGTAATACCACCACATTAATTTAAGCATTGTAGCTACAATCCATCTTATTCATCGTTGTTGTTGCCCTGTTTGTCTCATCTGTGTTTTTCGGTCTGCATCTCCCTCTACCCCCTCTCAAGCCCAACACGTTTCAGACGGCTGCTCAACATGAGTCTGGTTCTGTTCAAGGTTTCCTCTTGAACAAGTTTGATTTTCTATGTTCTTTCGCATCGATCCCTGTGTGTGTGTGCGTGGCTGTCTAGAGTGTCCCTACCTCAAACATACTGCCAGCTGCTGTTCAGGATCATATGCTTCCCGGAAATTGGTGCTGTTCTTTTTAATGAGTGGTTACAGTATAGAGAGCAACATACATCCTGAAATACACCTGGAAGTGATCGGGAGAATTCTGCAGCTCCTTTATTGACAGGTGAAACTCTCCTCGCTCTTGCCTTGTTATCATGTGGCCGGACCCCGTTGGCTTTTTTTTCAAGAAGTGAAAGAATCAGAAAATCCTCTTCACAGCTCGACCACTCTGATGAGTACGAGGCATTTTGTCTCATACTGAAAATTTTTGGAATTAATAGAAAAATAAACGGATCGGACTCAGTGTGCAAGGTGTCTGTGCGTAATGCTTTTTTCAGATTACAGATCCAAAACAGCATCCGAAAAAAATGGACTCAGAGTGCAAAGGCTTTAACATTTACATTTAACAGCACAAATTTACACAAAATTCATGTACATCCAGACAGCTGGGATTCTGACCTACACTGATCGATTGTTCTCAACTATCTAGATATTTCCCATGAGAATACACACTGTCGATGGGCAAAGCTGGCTCATTGTGTACCTGGTTGAAAAGGTAAAGCTCCTGGTCTAGTGGGGAGCTGATCTCCATCAGTCCTGCTGTGCTAGGCTGAGGCTGGTTGGGGCTGACAGCCCTGATCCGGATGTTGCCGAGATCAGCAATATACAGGGTACCATTCGGGGCCACGGTCAAAGACGAAGGGGCCTTGAGACGAGCATCGCGGGCGTAACCTCCATCCCCTGGTAAGAGAAACAAGAACACTTTATTTAAATGAGGAGGAACTCTTTATCTCACACAACCTCAGTTATAAAAACACAGACAAATATGGAGTTATTTTGTTATTTTGAGAAAGAGTGAAGTCACAACTGGTGGACACAAGCTTTGCAAAAATCTGAAGATCCCATGGTGCCGCTTAAGCGTTTATCAGTTCAGCTCAGGACTTGGACTTGTTTGGATACCATAGCTTCCCAATGGAGTTGATATGACCACCTTGATAGTGACCCCAGCCTTATCAGACGGTGGTAGTGGGTGGCTGAATGCATTCAGATGTCATTGGCAGCACAGCGGGGTAATAGCCGGGTGAAGCCCTTTAGATGCTGTCAGCAGTAGGCCCGGGGCCTCTGATGGGTCTTCGCTGGCAGCAGGGTGGCAGTTTATCTCTTGACAGCATGCACATTATGTTTGTGTGTCTGTTTTTGTGTGTGTGTGTGTGAGTTCATGTCTGTTTGTATTTGCAGGCGTGTGCTCACATGTTCAAAGGCACTGTGAGTGTCTACGGTGGAGCGATGGAAACGGAAAAGCCTCCGAAGAGAGTAATCATCTGTTAACAGCAAGACATGATTGAAAATATGCAAAGTACAACGCAAGAAATAGGAATGGTTACAGCCCATTGGCCTGTGGCATGGGAGAAACACTTCCCTCCATTTTGAATAGAAAAAAGGAGAGATTTTTATGAGCAGAATTAAATGATAAAATCACATCCTCTGACACTTACAATGAAAGCATGGCCTAACTGTCAAAAGGACATCTGCTTATTTGTTTGGTCTTCTCCGTCGTCCTTTTATTACATTTTAGGTGCTCTTCTATTATACAGCAACCAGTTAAAACCTTCAGTGGCTAGAGGAGAGCTTTTTACCATTGCTTGTTATTTGAATGGATTGTAAGGTTTTTCTCAAGCTGGTTTCTACTGAAATGTAGCTGGAGGTTTCTTGTCTGCACAGAGGGATCACTCACATGAATACAAATATCAATGCATCCCCCAGTGCACGCACACTCCTACTAAAAAAAACTAAAAAACATTCACTTACTTTTTCATTGCAACATTGGAGATAGTCAGTTTCTATTATTATAGGGTTATTGCATACATTAACACTAATATAAGGTTTAATTATTTTTCAAGGAGAGTGAAAAGGGGGCCCTTCTCCGATATTAAAATTTCATCTGAGTTAAATAATTGAGACACTTCACAGCAGAGAAGGAAATAGTGAAGGAGACGGACAAGAGGGGACAGTTATCCTAAAGCCTGCCTAATAAAATCACTGGCCAGCAGGGATTCACAGGCAGCAAGATTTAATCACTCAATTTCAGAACACAGAGACTATTTCAATTCATTAAACTTCTGTCTAAACTTCAAAATGTTTCCTTCGTTATTCTGCACAATCAGGTCGAGTTTGATATGATCTTGTATCATTTTTAAGTGCAGCTACATGTTGATCTAAGATCTAACCTTTCAGACATAATCTAATATATGCATGACATAACCCTCCAGTCAGATTGCATGTCTCTGTGTTTGTTTTGTGTGTGTGTGTGTGTGTGTGTGTGCGTGCCCGATGACCCACCAGAGAAGCAGTCACAGTTGGGGTCTATCTTACAGTCACAGTCCGTGGGGGCTCCAGAGATAACAGATATCTCCCCGTTGGTCGACACCTGTGAAGTGTTTAAAAAAAAAAAAAAACCCCGTCATACTGAGCTCCAGAAAGCTGTGTTAGCTTCTTGTTCAACAACAGCCTTTGTTATGTCTAATCTCTACAACAAACAAGATAATGATGGCATTTCATGAAAAAAAAAAACTGAGCTGGAAATCAAAAAATCAAAATATTAAAATGATAGAGGAGGAAGATGATAGCAATGTATTAGTCTGCTCACGTCTAATAGAACTTCAACCAAACAATCAAAGATTATATCTCAAAAGCCTCTTTTAATTTGAGCAAAATAAAAGAAAGATGGCTCCTCCAAGTGTGTGAACATTCACTTCTTGGCCTTAATGGAGCAGTGTTGATAAATGATGAATATTTGCAGCTGGATATCCAGCTCTGGTAACATCTGACTGTCCTGCTCGTGCATGCTATCACTTACAGAGAAAACTGCTTCACTGACACTTTGATTTTGATGCATCTTGGCCGGTAGATGCTTCCTAACAGGTCCAATGCATTATTTGAAGATGATGGGGGAAAATAAGCCTTTTGAGGATTTTTTGATTCATGGTGTTATTCCTCAGGGAAAGTTGACTTGTCCTGTGCTCCATAAAGCTTTTCTGTAAAATGATTGTAACATTATTTGGATTCTTGTTGAGCATTACAATGCCATGAAGATGACTGACAGCACCTCTCATGCTTACTGATATAATATAATAATACCACGTCATGTCTTTGTTTAGTCTGCACAACAATGACTTTGATAAACAGGAAATAACTTGTTCATTTGTAAGCTTTAGAGGTGCTGTTGAAGATCGGTGTTTGCTTTCATTTTTGAGCTAAGCTACTGATTTTTACAAGCACATGTTCGGGATCAATCTGCTCATATGACTAATGGCTAGATAGTCGATAGGTCTGCTTTGGAAAAGTGTAATTATTCGTTTGAAAATTTGACAACATCCATCAGTATTTTTGCAAGCATCCCTGGTTAGAAAATCTATGCTAACAAGCCAAAACATTGGACAAGTTAGTCTTGATTTAAGGCATTAAGAGTCCAATCATTTCATTCAGTTGTCAAATGAAAATACTCACAAATCCTCCAGGACTTAGGAGACCTGCAGAATTTATCAACAGTTTTGAGTAACTGGGGGAAAGTGATTCGACAAACGTACTTTCCTGAGGTCATGAAATATTTATACAAAGTTATCGTAAACTAATGGACCGACTTTGTGAGCGACATTGATTGGATTTAAAGTCTTGCGACTTGTAATCGATAAATGCACTTACTTAAAAAAAATGCAGAAAAAGAGAATCTGCTCTTGATTGTAAAAAGAATAAATACAGAGCCACAGCCGGACTCATATAAGCTGTAATTATTGTGATTTTACTGCACCTCAAAGATCCAATACCATGCTTATTAGATACATCCTCTGCCTCTTTTCATGATTGAAAATAAAACTCTCAACATACTGGTTATGATTCTGTGGTAGTTCATGTTTTAGCCAAATGTTTTTTGGTGAGAGTGACAGACAGACGTGCCTTCACCATGACAGCGGACCAACAACAGTGCCAAGGCAGCGCCTAAACACTCAACACGTCCAAGACAAGGTCACATGTAATAGAACTAATTATACTGAAAGAACACAGACGCAGAGGATTCAGATGGTTTCAGTCTTTTAAGATGATGAGTTAATATGAGTTTCACTTTTATCAGTTAAACATTAGTGTCAATGTGTGCAGCTAGATTGTCATACAAGTGACATCATGGTTTTTGTATAATTTAGTTCTTCCTGCAACATGCTGTGTCTGTATCTGCCTGTCAGATTCCTGAATGTGTTGATAGCACATCAAAACCGCTGACAAAGTCAGCAAGACATCATCATTAATTTTATGTAATGGTTCAGTGACATAAAAAAACAAAGTCATTCATTCTCAAAGCAGAATTTCTACTTGTTGCAGAGTGTGTTTGTAGGACTGCTCATGAAAGACTTTCAGGGTCCTCAAGCAGCAGGAGGATTTTAGTTGTAGTTTTGATTTTCTGGGTGAATGATTTTAAGATGAAAGACAAATACGGACCCCGAAATAAACAAAAATAAAACAGATGTGACAAATACTGATTTTTTTTTTATCGGCCTATCCAACACGGCTACATGTTCTCCATCAAAAAGGCATCGGAGGCTTATGTGTTCCTTTGTGCCGCCGTATGGACTCAGCATCATGCTGCGGACCACAAAGGGACTATTGATTTAATTCAGTGGGCTGTTTCTTTTTAGTGCTGGTGCCTAAGTGCAGGGGGGTCTTATGATAGCATGCTGCTAACAAATAGAGCTAATGGATAAAGAATAAGTTGTCGTTTCTAAAATAAAACGTTCTGCTTTTGTTTGTTTTTGATGCATCAGACTTTTGTTCACATGTGTAAGATGCAGAAGACTTGTTGCTGCACAGCATCTGTGACCACGGCAAACAGCCCGACCACAGAGGGGCTTGTGATAGTGTTAGAATTTGTGTCATAAGGCCAGATGGATTGTTGGTGTCAACTGTCAGCTGAGGTGTCTCTTCCTGTTTTTCAGTTTGTGAGAGATGTAGAAGAGATTTTTACAAGCGCTGATGCTTCATTATTCACAGAAACATGCAGGGTGGTTTGACGCCAGCACAGAATTTAGAGGAACATAGATCTTGTAGCTCTTGGTGAACTAAACTAAGCTGTAGAGCTGGTTAAAAATATTGATTCATCAATGCATTGCAATTATTATTTTCCTGATTCAATATCGATTCAGAGAAATATATTATATTATATATATTATATTGTTTCGTTGTAATGACGCCTCTCTCCACTGGGGGCACTGTGGGTGCTGTGAATTCAGGTCAGGCACAATGGTGCACTTTACATATAGTTTTTCTCCGTGCCATTAAAACACTGTTATGTTTATTATGATTTAGCTGCAAATTCAGCTCAGGCACAAAAGTGCACTTTAGATTTATCAATACTTAAATGTTTTATTCTTTATTTATTAAAGAATAATGAAACGATAAAATACATTTTTTGAGTCAGTTTGTTCTAAACCTATACAAACAATGCACACATAATTATTTAACAAACATCAGAAGGTACTGTGAGTAGTTATCTGAGTTATCTTTTCTCATCTACATGTTATATTAAAAATTATTAATTATTCAAAATTTATTCGAATTATGAGGTTGTGGACAATACCCAGTAATGCCGTAATGAATCAATAACCACTGAAAACAGCCATTTGCATGCATGCATTGATACATAACTCAGATTTTAAACTAAAAGAACTGAGTAATACTTAGATACTTTGAATAGGTAATGCTTTTGAATTATCATTATAAATCAGACTTGAAATGCATAACACGACAGCATGAGGATGAAGTGGTTTTAAGGGTCTTTGATGTGAGAGTGTTTGGTTAAATGATCTAAAATACAGGAGTCAGTATGAATGACATCTCATCAAACACCAGCAGCTGTTTCTGCGAGGCCCAGTCAGAAAACATGGAGCTCAAAGAGGCTAAAGGCAACTATGGGATTTGAAATGACAAGGTGACCTGTTGGATGCGGTTGATGCGTCTCTCATCAGTCTCAGCGATGTATAGTGTTCCCAGGTGGGACAGGGCGATGGCCTTGGCAGCCTCCAGGGTAGCGCGTACAGCTGCCCACCTCACCAGGTGGTGGTCAATACCTGGAACCTGGCAGTGGATCGGGCGGCCTGCTACAATACGGACCTGAAGATCTTCAGATACCTGAGTTAAAAAAAACAAAATCACACCATAATCTATGAGCCATGTGAGAAAGAACGGCTTCATATTCTTACTTTGTTTATCCAGAGTATCAAACCTCACCCAACCTGAGCCTGTCGAATCTAATCACTTATTAAGTTTTACAAGAAATACACTCCAACAGGCAATTCATTAATTTTAGGGAACAAGTGTTTGGCTAATAAGCAAAACCTGAATGACATTCTCTTCAAAACAACTGCTCCAGAGACTGTTGATAGCATGTTATTATTTTAACAAGGTGCTTTTTTTCCCTTTCTTTTATTTGAACAGCAAAGCGTGCTCAAAATGCAACCGAAGTGACAGCACTGCAATTTGTGAGAAATATTTCATTTATTTTCTTCCTGTGCTATGTATAGTGAAAATACCTGTCAAAAAAACAAAAACAAAAGTTTGAATGAAAATCAAGTTTAGAGTTCTGTTCCCCACCTGCAGGACAATGTTGTTGTCCAGGATGTAGAGGGAGTTGTCCAGTGGGTTGATGGCAAGGTCAGTCGGCCACTCCAAGCGCACCTGTGGAGTGACACACACACACTCATAGTCAGACCATACATACATGGAGTGTTACTGAATTTCTATAAATACATTTAGATCAAAAGAACAAGAACGCCTTGAGGGAAATCGCACACAAGACTCAGTAACAGGTGATACAAATAATATCTTCTTAATAACATAGCATTAGGCCTCCTGACCCTCCCTGCGCATGCAAAGGTCAGTGGCGGGCATGGAGCCTTCCCCGTGTTTATTCAAGATTCACAACGGCTCGCCTCGGCACTGTTCCAAATGTCAGCCAATAACCATGATCGCCGCCAGCTCAAATAGCACACCCTGCCCGCTTACACTGTGGGGGTCAAAACCAGACAAACCTACGCTAGTGCACTGCCTCCCCCACGCCTGTCCATCCCACACAAAACAAACTCACTCGAACCGCGAGCTATTGAGATGAGGTGGTGCGTCTGTGGGATCAGCGAGGTGATTGATGACTCCGAGGGTGGATTGGTAAATAAATGGATCATGTTAAATTGCCACTGACATGTCCAATTATAGGCTCTGTCAAATGAGAGAGAAGAGGGTTCACTTTGAAATCCCATTTTAAGAGGTGGAGAGATTCATCAAGCAGGCCTCACTCTGTCCTTAGCCAGAGAGGACACGCATCAAATCTCTCCTGCTCATGATATTGAACTTTGCAGTGATGGCAGGCAATCACTTTTACAAGTTAGGATGAGCTGTACAAAGAAATGGACTGGCTGAATCAAAGTCAAACTGAACCAAAAATGTTGCTAAAAAAAATCAATACATAGATTTGTGGTGTGTGTGTTTTCGTTGCCTTGGCCATTGAGCCTCTTAAATTGGTGTGGAGGCAAGAATTTGGACAACCAAGGACACTGTTGGTACTGGTCAAAAATGTTTGGCCAGGGACTTTAAATACAGTATATAAAGTATTTCAACATCCAGATTGGGGTCTGCATTTTTTACTGTTTACAGGCTATCATCTGTGATTTTAGCTTACATGACTCCATTATATTTGTTAGTTAATCATTCAATCAAAGTCATTCATAAACAAATCACAGCAACAATTTTCTAACATTATTTAGAGAGCAAATATCAATCCACCATAAGCAAGCGCTAGGCAACAGTGGCAAGGATTACTTTTCTTTGAACAGTCAGAAACCTCGGCCAGAACCAAACTCAATGTGAACTTCCATTTACAGCGACAGGATACTTTACGTCAAGATCTGACTCACTGGGTAAAGAGGGCTGATGTTACAGGTCTGTCCAGTACCATCAGTGATGATGGTCTGCTTATTTTCCATCATCTACACAAATGGATTGATGAAATGGAAACAGCTAATCTTGGCTAGCTAGTTAGTAGTATTGTGCATTCACTTCAGAAGATATTGAAATAACATAATTTATATTGGCTGTTAGTGTAAACATTAGCAAGTAAGGCTAATGAGCAACCACTGTCCTAATGAGAGTTAGCCAGCATGCTAGCTAGCTTGCACTTTTTTAGAGTATTTCAAACTAAATAGCTCAAGTGGTCCCTCCAAATGTTGAAGCTAGCTAAAGGATGGATTGCTATAATAGCTTCTTGATGTTTTTTGGTTTTACCAGATAGCAGTGCAACATAGAAGAAATACATCCACAGGTATTTCAGATACGTTTTTATCCTCTTAATAAAAATGCTTAAATATAAACAATAGCTGAATAATCTTTGCAGGTTTATTTGCTTTACCTTCAAGTAAATTCAATATTAGCCTTTAAACTATAAGCTAAAGTCATCACTTGTTGGTTCATTCTGTAAAAATGACAGCAGAGATGTTTGTCTCAACATAGCTTTAAATGTTTTCACTATTAGGGCCTGTGTCCATTGGGCTTTTTTAGTGCCAGCTTCTTTTTTTAAATGTTCCCGAGGAGGAGAGAGTGTTTGCAGCAGGAGGTGGCTGCCCGGAGAAAAGTCGCAGCGCCCAGCGTCCTTTAACTGAGCGCTCTGCCTTTTCTGTGCAGCCCCCTCAAGCGCTTCTAGTGTAAAATCAGTCTTCTTTTCAGAAGCTTGTTGTTGACGTCACTGCTGCACTTTTCAACCAGCCAACCATTTAATAGATCAAGAGGCCTTCATCACTCGTCTGATCATAACCGTGATAGCGTGCCATAATTATTATTAAGCGAATCATCCTGTAAAGTAGGATGGCAATCATCATCTGTTTGATGCTCATGATGAAGGCCAAAAAAACGATCTCAAATATAAAAGGTACAGTTCAACGCAACAGAGCAGTATCAGTTAGCGGCTGTTGTCAAGAGACTTTTGTCACAAAGACAAGATGCAGCCAGCGCTTTTCTGCCCGAATAAACTAACTAACCGCCAGGTGGACACAGGTCCTTCCTGATGCAACATTAAGGTCACACAAGTTTATAACAGTGAACACTGATGGAGGATGAGATGACTTGTGCTGCAGACGCTGAAAGATAACAAACAAAGAATAGCCCATAGACTGTAAATAATACACCTTGTGGCCAAACCCTGAATGACATCCCCCAAAGATTACTGCAGGGGGCTCTGGCGGCTTGTTGATGGCAGTGGTGATTCTAGGGGGCCCCTCCAATCAGCGTTCACCACCTTTCTTATTTCTTAAGTTCAGATCAGTATTATTATTTTAAAATAGAAGTATAAGGAACATTAAGAACCGTGTCATTTCAAAATATGACTTTGAAGAATGAGGGGAAAAAAGGGTCAAAGAACAAAAATCAAAATGTAATGCTAGCAGAAATAATGTTATTCAAGTTCATCTCCCCCATATTTAAGGCTATATGAGCAACATTCAGTCATTTACTAGTATATGAGTGAGTGCTGTAAGAGGGGGCCCCCTTGTTTGTCAGCGCTTGGGGGCCCCCTACTGGCCTTGGTTGCAGATGCCAACCTTGCCTGTTGACAAGCAGCGCCTCTGGTCGATGGCGGCCGTCATGATGGAAATCTTGTCTCAGCCTAACTTTCAGACAACCTAGTGACAGTCAAAGAGCTGCAGCTCAGGCAGGATTCAGCCTCCTGACTGTGCCCCCTTCTCCCGTTCATAAAATCAAAACTGAGGCGTTATTAATCTCGTTTTTATTACCAGGCTGCACACATACTTTCTACTATCAAAACTCTCTTTTTTAAATGGGGTGTATATTTGCAAACACTCAATAAACTGCAGGATTTTGCACTTCCGCATTGGCTTCATTTTTCAACACCGGAGGCTGCCGCTTGATATTCACACACACACACACACATACAAGCACATACACGGGGACTTGAATCCCGATGTGTGGGCAGAGATCACTCTATAGAGCCAGCACTTCATCTATAATTCATCTTGTGCTCTAATAGGCCTGATATAAGTCAGCAGCAGTGATCTGAAGGCTGGCTGATCAAATCTGCGCAGAAGCTGTATTTGGTCTCTCACACACACACACACACACACACAGAAACACACACAGACACCTTTAAGAAGACAGACAGAGATTCTGAGTGGAGGCCGGCTTATGTAGATTGACAAAACAATCAAGGACTACAAAAGGAAGCAAACATTGATTATTTGAGAGACATTGCCTTTCTGATTTATAATTGTGCTTGGGCTACACAAATGCTCATGTCTTACATTTTGACAGATTATCTTAAAAACATCAAAATGGTGAAAATGAAACCCATTTCAGAAAAGAACGAGGGGCTCTAGAGTGTTTCCAGTCCTCCAAACTCGACTGCTTCTATTAGCTTACCTGGCTGATGTCCATGCGTGCATCACAGCTTAGCGGCTGAGTCGACATCAGTCCGTTTGAGCCAATCACAGTGGAGAGCAAACCCCTCTCATTAATCTTCTGAATGGTGGTGCCATCCACAAAGTAGACAACACCTCTTTTATCCACTGCAATACCTGGACAGGCAGAGAGAGAGAGAGAGAGGCAGAATGAGCTTTGGGAGATGACAGAGAGAGTGAGTTGGGGTGAGAGAACAAAAAGGAAAGAGGTGAAAACGGGAAACAGAGTATGAGAGAGAGAGAGAGAGAGAGAGAGAGAGGGAGAGGAGATAGTGAGTGGTGAGCAAGAGAGAGAAGTAAAGTGGAAAGAGGAGAGGGCTTCGGAGAGGCATCCAACTCAGTTAGACATTCAGCTCAGCAAGCGGCTGTCTTATCAAAGGCGCTGCACCACAGAAATGTAATTATATTTCCATTCCCAAGACCACTAAAGGGATTAGAACAATACAACTGGAGGAAGAAGTTATTTGTCACATTAGATGTGAGCAGAGAAGCCGCATTGAACTTTTGACATTAGGCTCCTGCAAACGTGCATTATAAATGGACATACATGTAACAAACACACATGTGCTCTATTTGCACAAACTCTCCTCTCCATCGAGCTTTTAGTAGACAGTGAGGAGAGGTAAGTCCAGGTATTAAAGGTCAGGGCAGACTATGAATCATCTGTTATGGATGAAGAGCGACCTTCATCCTCATCTCATCACCATACAGAAAAAAGAAAGCCCTTTGAATTAACTCCTTCAGCAACCATGTACCACAACTTAAACCTCACCTCCACAAATTCTCATGGTTGCTTCTACTTAGTATGTGCAACAATAAGCCATATTTCAGACTCATGAAATAGCATTGAACTCACTTTACCATTTAAAAATACATTTTGTTGGTGGTTTACTATAAAGACATGTCAAGTTAGGGATTATTTCCCTTTATCTTGAGTATGCCTCTAAGGATTTACAGGGGACAAACGCCTTCTTGTATCCAACCTAGTCATGATCACTCACATAAATAAAAGGGTCTCACACTGTTAAACTTTTCAACCATGAAAAATTCCATGGTTGAAAAGGATTGGAATATTTGTGTAGTCTTAAAAGCTGTGCACATTTTTTTTATTTTTTTTTATTTTTTATTTTATTCACATTCAGGCTATCAAAGCAAAGATCAAAATTAACATTCTAACCTTTTAAAGTAAGTACGGCAAATATGTTGGCAAAGATACAATTTAAAACATTTGTATTTTGCACACATAGGGCAACACAAGCATTCATGCAGGCCAACCGATGAATTAAAGTTATATATTTATTTTTCTTTTACCTTTTTTAATCTCCTCCAACACCTGCAAGAAATCTTAAACTTGAGCTGTGTTCACAAATGCACACCTGAACATTTCAAAAACATTTCAGGCAGGCTGGTTGCCCCTGAATTCTTCCCGAGTTAGTTGTTTACACATGCACGTGTTCACACATGGGGGACGACGACGACACATTTGTGCCATGTCCAATGAAAGACATGGAAATGACACACAAAGCCAGAGTCACACACAGTGATGACATTTGCCTTTCTATCAGTGCAACGTGTAGTTCACAGAAAAGTGTGAACTACACGTTGAAAAGCAAAGCACAGACTAAACAAAGAGCAGAGGAGAACACTGACTGAAAACATCAGTTTCATTACTTGGTCAAAGATTGCACCGGTTTATATCCTGTGCAGGTAGCAGGATATAAATGTCATCTTCTCCGCCCGCCATACATTTTTTTCTTGAATATCACCTGCTGTGTTCTCACATTTTCTTCACACATTGACAAGTTAGAAGGAATGCTGGCAGGAAACATAACAGGTGAAGTTAAAGTAAAAAAAAAAAAAAGTCCATTTGCGTTCACACATGCACCTCCCTCCGAGTACCTTTAAGACATTTCATGAGATTTGTGTGAGCTTGAAAACACTATTAGCTCCAAATGATCCACAATGTGCTAAAGCTAGTCATTCACTTTTTGAGACTTCCCTGTGCAGCGCCGTACGAAACAAAAGCGCTCCTAAGAGGTGAGGTAAACGGAGTTGGGTGATTATTCTTTGTTGACACATCCTTACTAGTGTTGCCCTTTAAAGAACACAAAGTCATTCAGGTCATTTTTTATTGAAAATATTGTTAAGTGCAACTTTAAAATGCATGAAATATTAAAAAATGCAAACCCAACCGTCCTCGGGCACAAGGTTATTTTTTTCTTCAAATTACTTCTTGTTTTTAGTTTCTCTTTTAATATTCATGTTTGCCAAATTGTATTCAACCAACAGAGAGACCTGCAGAACAAAAGCCGGTAAAAAAACCCAGTGTTGAGCATGTTTCTTTCAAAAGACTAAATGAATACTAGTTATGAATTTACTTGATTAGAAAAATGGCACTTTATCTAATTCTTGTAAATTAACTTACCGCTTTGCTTCCAGATATAATGGACTTATTGACCCATTTATCTGCTTTCCCTGCATGCTTAACACCCTTTTAAGAGCTCTGACTACTCCAAAGTGACAGCTCATCATAATTAAAACGGAAAATGGGGCGACACCACCAGTACAGTTCCAACTATTTCTCACTCATTCAACCCTCTTGTCTTGTTTTTGCTTTTATTTTGTCCCGTCAGTCTTTCTTTTTTTAAACTCTGTCATGCTGGATTATGTGTTGATGTGCCCGTGCTCTCTTGCTGAGCCTACGATAAAAATCACCGTTGCCCATTTCTCCCCAGGCAGCACTGAGGTCTCATCCTCCTTGACATACAATCGCTTTCTTAACACGTGATTCCGTTCAACATGTGCACGCTCACACACAACAACATGCAAACACAGCACACCAATGCCGCCGCCCAAACTAGATTCGCAAACGTCCTCAAACCGAGCAACCCTGGCCCGACCCCGCAAGTCATAAATCGTGCAGGTGGAGGGGAGGTGGAGAGGGGGTGGGTGGGTAAGGGGAGGGCCAGGGTCAGTGTGTTTCCTCCAGAGGCCAGAAGGTGAACTGCGGAGCTCTCCCTCCTGGCCCCTTCATCATCCCTCTGACACAGACAGATTACACCCCCCCTCCGCCCAACACCTTTCCATTCCTCTTGTAGCTTCCCCTCGCCCTCCATCCTCTCTAACTTGATCTCCTGCTCTCTTTTTGCTCCCTCTACACTCCCTACTTTTTATTGTCGTCCTTTGCTTTGTTTCTGTTGTTGTGTTCACTCTTTGTTGCCCTTTGTGTTATAAGTGCTAATCAAATCTGTGTCCTCTGAACCTTTGATCATGTCTTGGCTTGGATTTTTCTCTGTTCAGCCCATTTTTGTGTGCCTCTAGCTTTGCCATTTCTCACCTTGTCACCTGGCATTATGCAGGAGGGACGTCTAAACCCAAAATAAACCTACTTAGGACTAAAACAAGGAAAATTATATTTTTGTGTCATTATTCGAGAGACAGGACAGTGGACAGAGTTGGAAATCAAGGAGAGAGAGAGAGAGAGTGGGGAATGACACGCGGAAAGGGAGCCACAGGCCGGACTCAAACCTGGTCCGCCCACTTGGAGGACTACAGCCTTCATACATGGGGCGCACGCACTAACCACTGCGCCACCAGCGCCCCTGGTCCTTCCTATTATACTTTCACTTTAGCAGCCATTTCTACTGGAAACCTAAACCTGTCCCTGATCTTAGAGCTCATAAATCCTGCACAAGGACATGAAGAGGCAGCCAGGACTCTCTCTCCATTCTGATTTCTGTTCTCTCCCTCTCTGTTTCTGGATATTACTCTTCTCTTTTGGTACATTGACTTCCCTTTATACTTTATTCCTTGCCTTTGTTTGAGATTTTCTTACATGCTCAGGATGCTCTGCATGGCTAATGCTCTCACAAGCAGCTCCTAAATAGCTGCCAATCTATAAACAATAAATACAGGACCAGGCTGACTTATTCATCCTTGCACAAACATAACAATGAAGAACACTTGCCATTATTGCTTGGCATTGGCAAAAGGATTTACACCAGTTTATGTGTTGTTTAAGAGTATTTTGCAGTCTTTATTGAAAAGGCGGGAGATTAGTCCACATTTTCCTTGTCAGGCGCTGGATTTCCTGCTGCGTGGGTAAATCTGTACGCTGCGTTAAGGGAATTCACAGCCTCCCAGTATAGCCAATGGACACTCACAAGACATCAAAAGATTTGCGGTTTCTCCCTGGGTAGACCTGGCACGCTGATACTCATGTTTAGAGGCTGGCAGACACAACAGTGGTGTAATAATTGAGATAAATCTCAACTCCAGAGGGAGACGGACATTTGGCTAAACTATGGACTGGACTTTTATCATCAAAGGAAAGTGAATTAGACTGAGTTGCACTGACCTTGGAAAAACAGAGGGAAGAGCGCAGGGAAGAGGGAAGGACAGGATGATAAAGTAATGCTTCTCACATTCAGCTCAGATTTAGGGAGAAAATGCAGCCAAAGAGAAACAGACAGCACAGAAAGAGGTGTGAAAGAGGAGAAAGTCGGTGAGGAGACAAAGGGACGTGATGAGGAATTGCTTCAATTAACTATTACAGGCCAATCACTCTCAATCAAAGAAACTCTTTGTTCTCCTTCCTTGTCAAAAGAATATCCGCCATAACGGCCCCCTGTGGCACTGCAATACAATCCAATCTGATTAATGCCTTGGAGAGGGTCTAAGAGAGCATCAGTGTTGATTACAGCTATTTGAAGAGAAGGAGCCACCGGGGATTTTATAGACAGAGAGCGAGAGGCAGGTGAGGAAATTTGTAAGGTGAGATATGAGATGAGGTTAGAAAGACTAATTATGACAAAATGATTTTGATTTTGTATCTCTTTAGCAGAAAGTAGACAGCAATGTTGGCATCATTGTGGGATATGGTGTGTGTGTGTGTGTGTGTGTGTGTGTGTGTGTGTGTGTGTGTGTGTGTGTGTGTGTGAGCCTGAGCCCTCAAGAGTGCAGGAAGTCAGCCTGCTGGTGTTGTTCAAGTTTCCATTCTACCGTTCTTTCACCCTTCAAATGTTGACAGCAATGCTGCCAAAGAGCTGCCTCTATTGATGAAAGCAAGCAGAATGTAAAGACAAAAAATTGTACAGAAAAAAACCCAAAAACACATC